AGTCTGTGTTAACCAAAGGACCCAACAGCTACATCCCTTTGTGAACTGTGGCAAACACACTGCAGCTCAAAAGGAAAAGCTATGCTACAATAGTTGACATTGGCACGGTCCCACAGGGGACAATCTTTTAAGAGTGGTGAACCTCTTTTCTTTACATATGCAAACACTTGTTTTAAACAAATTCAAATAAATAAAAGACATGCCCAATGCATGCAATAAAAAAAAAATGAAGCGCCTTTGATGACATTTCCCAAGAAGAACCACTGGTGGTAAGTTGAAGAGCTACTTGCAGATGCAAGCCAGTCTGAGTATCACTGATTGTAACCAGAAGCTGTGTGGTTTTGCAGTCTTGAGGACTCATGGGCAACCCAGGACCTTGGATGAGTCCCTGCATCTTACCACCTTCCATCCACATATACAGAAGATTTTTTTTCTGTGAAAGGGAACATCCTGAATTGATGCTGGTGAGAGCTGGATCTTGCTACTGTCTTGTTCTGAGGTACGCCCTTTCACAGAATCATAGTAGTTCAGAGCTGGAAGGGACCTCAAGAGGTCATTTAGTTCAACCCTCTGCTCAAGGCTGGAGCAGCCCTGTAAATTTGGGTGTTTATTAAGCTTTAGTAGTTTGATTTCAAGAAGCGTTGAGCCTCTTGCTGCTCTTCTTCACAGCACCTCTGAAAATCAGGCCATAAAGGTTGGTGGGTGGCAGAGGTGAGGCAAGAGAGAAGGAAAAACAGCTCTAGCTCAATTATACAGGTTTCTATCTACATAGGTACCTAACTTTGTATCCCCAGAACTGGGTTCTGCAACTAACACTTCATCATTCCCATTCCCGTTGTGACTGTTGAGTCAGAGGGAAAGTCTACTCCAGCTGTGGATTAATCTTACAAGGTGACTATGCTTCACTATATTTCCTTTTTTGAAGCCATTGGTAAATTCTGAGATATTGTTTTCTTTCTGTGCCTCCTTCTTAAATACCTCTTTGAATGCAAATTGTGCTGGATTCTTGACTGAGTTTCAGAAACTACTGACTTGCTGTTCTCAAGCTCTCTCTCTGCTATTTTGAGGTTCTGAAGATATAAATCCTATAGACTTCTATGGTAGGGGCAATTGCCAATAACAAGTGAGGATCTAAGTGCCTTACATTTCCCAGTCCATCACCTCAAACTTGGCTGTGGATGAATTGGACAGCAGGCTTCATAGTGAAGCTGAAATTGGAACTGTCAACCTCGAAGGTGGCTGCATTTTTAGCTGAAGAGCCTGGGAAGTCTATGAAAGGTATGAACCATCATCGCCATTCTGTACAACACTTTGTGGCATTGTCCCATCTATATGAGTTCAGAGACATGCTTTGCATGTCTGAGGAAAAAGCACTGAACCCAGTAGTGCAGGATGTAACAAGATTTAAAGGGTAAATATCGCATACATCAAACAGTATTCCACCTTGTTCCAACAGCTGGGGTTAGCACCTTGACCTCTCATGACATGGTTCACTGTCCATTTAAATGCCTTGTATAGCTTTAAAGCTCCAAGTGCAATTCCTGCATTGGAAAAGAGTGGCAATTGCTGTTCTGATTGCTATGCTATTCGCCAGGAAGCTGAAGTTTAACTCCCCCTTATGGAACATACCTTTCTTTGGACGTATTCAAAAGCTCTGTCTCTTTTGAGAAGCAATGCAAATAGCATGTGCCATGGCATTAGCACCGCTAGACCTTACAGTCCCAAAAGAGGAAGCCTTTGCTGCTTTAATATCAAGTGAATGGTCACAGGGCAGGCTGACTTTTACGGTACATGCTTTAGATCACTGCTGTCAGGCCCCTGGGAACTGTATGTACAAAACAACTACCTCTTTGACTCCACAAATGGGATAATCATGTCCATCACACTAGGCTTTGGATGAAATGAATAAATGCAGTTGCTTTGTCCAGAGCTGTAAAATGCATAAGCTGCCCCCGCAATCCCCTCTCCATTGTGACGGCTGGCTTCTTCTCGGGCATTTCCTGTACCTGAAGCATTTGCCAGTGACTCCATCTGCACGGTTAATTCTCATGCCTGGCTCTGCCACAGCTGTCTCAAATGAGCCTCATGAGAGGACAGCTGCTGAAATCTGTTGGTTAGTTCATCAGCAGGTTACTGAGTAGGTCATAGAAAGCAAGCTATCCTTTCATTAGTACCCTGTTAATTATCATTTGGATGCAGGGCATGAACAGGAAAAAACCCAAGCTACAGCTACAAATTACTATAAGGTTTAATGTCTGTTGCATCTATTAAGCTTTTATTTCTCCTGGTGTGTACTTGGGCAAACCTAGACCTTTTGGTGCACAAGTCTGTTTGTTTTAAGGAGTAATGAAATAAGCTATTTCTTTCCCAAAGTGTTCATTGAGCATTGAAGTGACTGAGGTTTTTAGCTTGCACTTTGTGTCATCATTAACTTCTGTGCCAGCTGAGGGTATAATGCTACTTTGCATTTACACCTACTTGGCACTATCTTAATTGATGGCACACAATGCAGACTGAAGGAGTAAGCTTTTTATCTGTGCTGCTGAGGACTTGAGGTGGAGAGGGATGTACAGAGATCTCTGCCTCATACTTTATCTATCTGTTTGAAATTGTATTCCAAACAGTGCCATAGGGATGACATTTTGTGGCCGGGGCAAAGCCTGCAGTAGCAGTCTGCCTCTGCCCTGTGCACAGATCTGGGGGGCACACGCTCCCCCTATGCTTGCCCGGGGGTGCACGCAGTGGCAGGAGCTGCCCTTCCCCTGCCCCCGCCCCCACACCACCCCAAATGAGCTGCTCTGTGCTGTTTCCTGCCACGGCTGGGCAGTGCCTGTTGGCGCCCCTTCTCTTTGGCACCTGGGGAGGTCACCCCACTCATGCCCCACCCCCTTGCTATGGCACGGATTTGAAAACCCCTCCCTATCCCCTAACTGCCCTGCTGTTTAGGAGGTCTGAGAAAAAAACCCAGAACAGCTAATGTTAACTGAATGCTGGAAAGCAAGTAGAACCTCATGTTTCAGGTCTTAGACTCATCTCAGTGTATTAAGCACAAGGAGCAGACCCTCATGGGGGTCAGATTATCTCATCCCTAATCACTGTGGTGTTTCTTGCTGCATCTTCTGAAGCATCTACTACTGTGAGGGAAATTCCTGTGTCATTCGGGTTTTCTCTCACTCTAACATTCCTCCAAGCAATATTTTTATTTAGCATTTCTGGCATCAGGGTCCAGAATTTTGGGCAAATCACCATTTTTTCCCTCTCCTTGTTATTGCTTGTTTTATATCCAATTTTTCATCTGTGGGGGTCACATCTGTTTTAATCCAAAACTAGATTAGTTATTGTGCCCCTCTGAATCCATGAAAAGATCAGGGACCCCAACACTTCTGAGCTCTTCAAGACTCTAGAGATGCATTGCTACCCTTTGGGGATGTTGTGCTCAGGTAAGGGAGAAAGGTTGGGTGCGGAAAAAGTGGGCAGTCAGATATGTCATTCTTATTCTGACCCTCTGATAATTGAAATAAATGATAGAGCCCCATATCATGGCTAGTTGGAATCAAACTGTGTCATATAGCTCCTATTTATAACTGCTAAAGGAGATTTTCTAATAGCCCATGCACCAGGAACATGTGGATGTGAAGGAGAAGAATTGAAGTTGGATTACAGTTCACAATTATCATACCAAGGCCAATCAAAACAGAAGTCCTAGATGACCACTGAGCTGTTACAGAATTTTTTTTTTTATGTAAAAACAACAAAAAAGATGTAGTAGACTAACAGATGGGCCCATCCATTCCCCTTCCTTAATTTCAAATGAAACCTCCTTCTCAGAGGCTGTCCCAGTGCTCCAGAAATGACGTACTGAGTTAATTTAATGGGTTTTGTGTGCAATCAGCCAAGGACGTTAGTTTACAACAGTCTTTGAAGCAGCACAGCAGCCGTTGTTATGAGATCTAATGCTCCCTTGCTCTGGCTAGAATGGGAATTGGTGGTCTTTGCACCAGCCCTAGAAACAAAGCACAAACAGTCCAACCCATTGTGTGCCACTTTGCTAAACAGCAGTCACAGCTGGAAGACCCTAATGTGACTTTCCAATTTTGTTGATTCTTTCTGAAGCTTCATAGCCAAAGGGAGGTCAGCTGAAGGTAGGAGATACTTATGGGTGTTATAGGAGTAAGGAACAGTTTATGTCACAACAAATACACAACTATCCTTCCTCTTATTTAAATAAATGCTTCATGCACCTTAATATAGACCTAGCTCTTAAAAAATCCATTTAGGATACTTACAAACCCCCCACTAATTATATGAATGGGGGAAAAGCACTGCAGTTGAACTGCAGGCATCTAGGAGGTAGTGCCTATACTGTCAAGTAATTGCAGGAAACCAATCAACTAGCAGGAGTAAGATCCAAAGCACACAGCTGCAAAGACTCTGTGACTGTCATAAACAGCTGTAGTTTAGTTTTGGTTCTAGGGTGAATTATCTTTCTAAATAACTACCTCTCAAATTAGAATACGAGCTCACTCCCAGACTCAAGAAACTGAAGGAAAAACCCATAGAAGGGGAACTTGAAAATTCAGCCAGGAACTGACTGATTTTGATTTATGTTTCTTTATCCTGTAGAAGTGGGAAAGCTAATGAACCAGTATCTTGGTCTCTGTGGGCTTCCATGTAGGAGAGAGGAAGCCAAAGTCGGTTTAATTTTTTCTGATGTGTGCAAATACCTCTACCCTCTTGTACACTTCTGTAAGGCTGGCTGCAAAATACTGGAATTGACACCAGAGAGCAGTGCCACAGCAATGAAGTTTGGTGCCTGGGGCAAAGCCTGGAGTGGCAAACTGCCCTCACCCTGCACACAGATCCGGAGGGCACATGTCCCCCCATGTTTGTCTGGGACTGCATGCAGTGGTGGGGGTCGCCCTTCCCCTGTCTCTGTGCCCCCCAAACAAACTACTCACGGCTCCATCCTGCACCCCCCACCGGCTGGGCACCACCTGTTGGCGCTCCTTTGCTTTGACGCCCAGGGCGTTCACCCTGCTCATCCCCTTCCCCACCCTGCTACAGCACTGCCTGGGAGCATTGGTTTTGAGGGGGTTGCAATCTCTATGGATGGATCTTGCACTCACCCACAGTGGCAGTGCAGGCTTCTGTTGTATCACTCATTGTGTTGGGGATACTTATCCATTGCCATAGTTTGTACAGACAGTTGGAGGGATGCAAATCAAATGGTGTTGAAAATGGGACTATACCATAAAACTGGAGAGAGGTGGTGATCCCATCCTTGGAGCTCCTTGGATCTCTTGGAGCTGCAGTGTTGGGAGTGCCTTACAAGTTTTGATCTTGCAGGGAACACAAGTATTATAAGTACCTGATTGGACCTGTGGTCCCTGTAAGGGGAAAGGGCAGCAAGCAAGCTGGTGTTGGGTCTGTGAGAGGCTTTTCTCACAGTACAGAGAAAAAAAAGCCCACTGGAAAAGGGGGTGTAATAAAAGGAAATTAACCTTTCAGTTCTCAGAAAAGCTGCTGTAGTTCTTTTTGGTCGGGAAGGTCAGTTGTCCTGCTGGGATAGAAAGATCTAGTGATGATGTCTTTGGGTGCAGCGTCCTCCTCTGGTGCACAGGGCTGGAACTGATCCTGTGTGAGTAGAGAGCTGTAGTGTCGGGGCCCATCAGGTTTGCTTCCGGTTGGGCTGTCTCTGCAGCTGCTCTCTGCTCCATTTTGCCACGAGGGAGACTTGGGGATGACTGCGAGCTGTGCCTCTTGGATGGAGGTGGGCTGTAGTTCTGAAATCTCACTGTTTTTACTTGCTGAAATGTGAACGGAATCAAGAATGACTATGTATTAAGGGAAACAACACGAGCCTCTACCTCTTACTTTGATCTACTCTAGTGGAGACCTTGGCACTATGGTGCCAAGGTGGAGTGATGGATTACATATGTAGCAGAGTGTGACTTGGACTGCCCTGCAGGCCTGGTGTCATGCACAGTGCTGAAATGGTTAGATACTGCAAAGTGTGAACACCAGCTCTGCAAGAGAGAAACCACCAGAAGAATACAAAGTATGCCAGGTCCCAGAGTAATCCAGTCTCCCACATAGACAAACTGTCCTACATACATATAGAGCATGAATTAAAATGGAAAGTGCTGGAGAAAGAACTGTAGTGGTGGAGGAGTGTGCAAGATAGCATAGCCTCTCTCTTCCTGTTTTTTTTAATCCATTTTCCATCCTTCTGGCTTTCTCTTACCTGGGACTGTGGAAAGATTGATTTGTAGCTAATATTCTAACTAGAAGCCTCAATTTGGCTTGGCTTTGAGGGACTCATGCATCCTAAACAGTTATTCTGCAGTGCCTGTAACAGGGGACCATAACCCCTGTTGCTTAAGTGGAAAGAGGGCAGCATCACAGAGCAGCAAACAGCTGCAGGCCACTGACTTAAAGCAACTGCAACATCACCATGTAGGCAGCTGAGGGAGCCAAGAATAGGAGCTACAAAAGCTGCAGAGTTCAGAGCTCCAGGCAATTAATTAGGTGATGGCTGCAGCAGAGCTGAGGCACCTGCTGATGATATCAGATGAGTAACACCTGAACGTGGCTCCTAGGCTGAGGACAGCATTGTGGTGTAGTCTGAAGGGGTGAACAGTTTTGTGCAAGGAGGTTGCAGACTGGAAAAACTACAGACAGTATGGTACCCTGAGGAGCTGGTAAACAGAGGGGTGGGTTTTCCTTTGGTAAAGGTATGTAGAAGGGTGTAATTAAAGTTGATATTTTTGGTTTGCTAATTGTGATGCATGGGGTAGTTATTAGGGTATGTGTGGAGCTGTTGATGATTAGTTTGCAGGACACTAGGGTACCTTGGAAGGATGCTGTGTGTACTCTATCTAGGATGGAGTCGGCCTTGGGTAAATACGCCCAAGGGAAGCTTGGATTGCTTCAGAGGGCATTCAGGCTTCCCTAGTGCTTGGATTCTGGGACAGATGGAGTCTAGGCAATCCAATGCAAAGAATAGAGTGCAAATAATGCATATTCAATGCAAAGAGTAGAGTGCAGACAACATGCCTGGGGAGAGGGCTCACTCTGAGCCAATCCCCCTATAGAGAGGGCTGGGGCTGAGCTGAGTACGCTGAGGACAGAGCTTGTAGGTAAAGAGGTGAGAGCTCAGGGAGCAAGCTACCCGGAGTATGTAGCCTTCAGGCAATTAAGTTGGGGAAAATGGGCCTAATGCCCTGAGATATGGCTGACAAGAGGGTCCTAAGAATCATTACTTGGACTCCTCAAGACCTTGGGATTGAGGGGCACGGTTGCCAGAACAACTGAGATTGAGTTACAGGCTGAGAGGGCCAGGATCTAATGAGACCTAATCAGGTTTCAGAATAGCTTCCCAGTGCAGCAAACCTGGGAGGCCAGCAGTTGGCAGCTGGCAGGTTTAAGGTGAAAGTGGATTGGGCTGGACTACCAACCCTATTATGAGATGGACAGAGAAAAGCACCTGAGGTGCTACTCTGGAGATTGGGGGCACCCTCCCAAATTATAATAACCACTGACACCAAGGGAGTGGCAGGCAGGATAAAAAGGGGAGGTGATAGAGCTGTCTGCCAGTGGGTGTCAAACTTGAGGCTGTAGCTCTGAACATGCTACGAAGTTTGTAGCTATGAAGTGCCATTGTTCAGCGGAGGGGAATTTGCACACGAGCAGGATGGCAGAGAAGAAGTTAAAGAACTCTGCCAGGAACAGTTTAATTTAAACTTTGATGCAAATAATTAATAACCTTAGAACATAGCTAACTCAAACATGCATTGATTTCAATGGGACTCTTGCCCGAGTGAAGGTATTGGTAAATGGCTGCCTCTGCAGGCATTTACCAAGTGAGCAGTGACTTTTGCAGACAGAGACCCCATGGGAGATTCTGAGAGAATCACATTCACAGGGGGGCAGATGCTATCAGAAACAAATTTAGGGGCCCAAATCTGGAGAACTGTACTCTAGCAGCAGTCCTGTGGGTCCAGAGTCCTGTCTGAGTAAAGCCACAGTGAACATAGAGTAGAGTCCTTCAGGGATTTGGCCTGTGGTACATGGCTGAAAACAAATGTGAATGCCAGCAGGATTTTCAAGATTGTCCTGAGCCAGATATCCAAGGGATGGGGTTCTCCCTGCAGCGAGTAAGCCTTACTGTACCTTTTCTGAGTTGTTCCGGGAGGACTCTGGTTTTACCAAAATGGAGGGAGGAGCTGATGCAGGTGGCTTTGGAGGCTCACTTTTTGCTGGCGAGTCTTTGGCATCCAGGATCACTGAGCTACATGCAGAAGGAGATTGACTTTCAATGCCCCTGGCCACAAGTACTGATGAAGGATCATGGGAAGAATTCAGCCTTGCTCCAGCTTCAGCCATGGCAGCTCCAGTCAAGGGGCCTTGTGGTGGATACAGTTGAAATGCCTGAGGTCTCACAGCAGCAGCTGAAGCACGCCGGAGGGAGCTGGCAACGTGAACAGGAGTGCCTGGCTGCACAGGCCTCTGCAATGATCCATCTGGGGAGCAAGATCATTTTGAATGAGATGAAGGTTAAAATAAAACATAGACATGGAAAAAGATGCCTACCACCTTTAGGCTGTCCTTTCCCTTTGGATGCTTCCAGAAGTAGACCATATCTGCAAGGGACTTATCTGAATAATAACAGAGGAGCAAAAATGACTTCTTCCCCTTTCTCCCATTTCCAGAATTGCCTGTTTAATCAGACTTTGCCTTTCCTAGAATAATTTCAAAGCTTAATGAACTTATTTTTCCAACATGCTTGTATGTGTTTATTTTGCACAGCAGAACCTCAGTCTAGATGTACCATTAAATGTCCTATTGCCTTCATGTTCCAAATGAGGGGAAATGACACTTAGAAAGAACAGAGTGACTAGAAGTAGGATTGAGTTGTTCTGATTCCCTAGTCCCTTGCTTTAATCATTAAAAGTGGTTTCAGATGCAAAAGAGGGGAAGCCTTCCTTCCCCTCTTTCCTTCCTCTCTGTCAGCTCATGTAACTTGGATTCAGTCCATGATATTTGAAAACATATGGCAGACCTTTAATTCTTCTGACTCCTGTACAGCTTTGCACAGGACTTTCTTGGGGGTCTTTGCCCACATAATCTTAGCACTACTGTTTTTGGTATTGATTCTCACTGGCATAGCATGATGAATTTTCATGTTGGGGTTCCTGAATCAATAAGTGATGGCATTGGTACCTCTCATACTGGTTGGGCTCCATGTTGTAAAAAGGCGGGTCTCTCCGCAAAGCTATACTGATTTCCTACAATAAATTGAAACAGGTAGGTAAAAGCCTAACAAATCTAAAAAGTCTTGATCCTGCGAGGTGCTGAGTGCCTCCAAGGAGGTGCTGGCTGTCCTTGGTTGTCCCTGGCTTGGCAGAAGCAGGGCCCCCTTTGTCATTTGCTTAGCACCAATCCCTCATTAATCCTGAGCATGAGTCCTATAATTGAGGCTGCAGCAGCCATCCCTCAGGTTTTGCCACATTGGTTGTTTCTGCGGCTCAGGCTCTTCCATTTGAATATTTACTTTCCAGGTGAAAACACTGGAAGTCGCAGTTTCTTTTGCAGTTTCTTGCTGCCTGAAAG